GCCCGCCCCCCTGCGGCCTCGCGGGCGATAGACGTTTGGGATGCCGGGGTCTCAAGAGTGGTAGAACTGATTCGATAATGGTCTAACGTCTTATGTATCCGACACTGGTATTTTTTGCGATTTCAGGCATGGGGAACAAGTTTACGAGCTTTGTATTTTAATTATTCAATACCGACATCTAAGTCTTAAATCTGCATTGCAGACTCCCCATGACACCCACATGATAATCTGTCCAATAAAACTATTTTAGTGATATATTCAAATAATTTACAAACGGAGATTATTCAATAATTTCAATTTTATGCAAGTACATTAGAGTCATTTCGAAAAGTAATGCTCTTGGACTCTGAAATTATCATCGTGTTCGTAAGTTCAGGATATAACAAGACATTTCCAGAATGATATAATACAATTTACGTGTGTCGTCTTATTATTTGCATATCAAATCAGATATGTCGATAAATACATTTGAGGAGTGCATTTTAAAATTTAGAATTGGCCATGCATTGAACAGATAACGGTTTCCAGCAGTGGCGTTTCGGTTCAAAATAAGTAGACAAATACCGTCATCTACCTTCATGGACACATAGCATAAGGTTTCCTTAACTACGCGAGTAGAGCAGAATCGTATGAAGCGTTATCGCTTAGAACTTAACGCTCAACGCGTAGACGGACGAGGGGGGATCGAGCGGCAGGTGGGCGAGTGCGGAAGCGCTGGGCGACGTGTTTACGTGGCGCGCGCGCGTTGCCCCACGTTGGGCGCCAACCGCTCGGGCGCGCCGCGTACGCGTGACGCTCGCCGCGTGCCGAGCGCGCCGCCCTGACAAACGAGCGTCGCCCGGTCGTGTGCCGCACCTGCGCCCCGCCCCGCCACCTTCTCCCTATCTATCCGCCTCTTCCCGCCCCTTCCCCTCCGTCGCAAGTGCTCAGCGAATTGCGACAGTTGCTTCGTATTGTTAGAATCAAACAAATACGGGTAGTGATTTATACTGACGTGGGACAGGCAATTACAGTAATTTTGATGGTGGAATTTATCCTTTTGTGTGTACACTATTTTTATAAACTAATTACCTTCTTCGTTCTGTATTATAAATAAAGTTGTCCAACCTATCCCACTTTAATAATCACCTATAAAGTTGTATTTGAGTGTAAAGTTGACTGTGACAGTGTGAATTGGCATTGAAATACATCGATTAAACCACACATTTTTTAGTAGTATTAAGAGAGAAAATATTTTAAAATGCATCCTTTATTTTTTTCAGAACATACAAGACGTAATTGTTCATCCCAATACAATCATAAATACACAATCGGCTGAGCCATACTTATCCAAGAATATCAAAACTCGCATTAAGAATTGCGAGTAATGTAGGAAATAATGAAATAACTGACTTAAACAATCCATACGACAGGGTAACAAAGTATATTTTGATGGAAGAAAGTATACTTATATCTACCTGGTTTCACACTGCTAATATAGAAGTGTGAGAAATATGCCTCAGAAGAAGGTCACAAAATGATGGCGGAAACTCGACCGACTGTCACGCGACTCATTCCGGACAGCCAAATATCAAATGATTCCGGCCGCGGAAGCCAAGTAATCTATACTTCATCTACCCACTATATTGAATAAGGGTATAAGCAATTGAGCAATTAAATATTAGTACATCGTGAGGTGTATGTTCATTAGTGTGCATATGACCTATGTACTGTGACTAAAAGTACATAACAATCTGGATATTATTAATGTGTAAATTGATCTTCCCTCAAAAAATTCTTCACAAATTCCCTATTATAATCTACTTATTTTTCAACGCCTTCTCACACTGTGACATGACAATTATCCCACGGACGTTTTTTTATATTCATACCTTCAAAACCTACCACATAAGCATTGTTCTTTAACATTGTGGCTGAGACATAACCATTTCAACCATCGCCTCCCACATCACAACCGTGGTTAATGCTCCACGACACCACCTCGGGGCAGTGGTCAGTCGTACCGGCATGCCACACGAGTATAACTCCTACCAAGTTTACGTTTGGAGCCGCTTGTCTTCCCCTACGCCTAACGCTTGGCGCGCGCCGCGTCCTGATAGCCGAAGGGACAGGCACGCGCTATTCCCGGGGCGGTCAGCACCGCGTCGCGCAACGGAGCGAAACCTGCAGACGGACGCCCGAAACGATCCGTAACTGCCGCTAAGGGCTTTCCTTTGTAGTCGCTCTGGAGCAACAGATAAATTTCTCGGGCGCTGCGATTTGAGATCAAGAAAGAAACAAGACCTTTTTTTTATTCCGCGGGTTCAATGATCTTGTTCAAGCCTTGGTTATTTATTGAAACATTTGATATCGAGGCAATTACAACGATAATTGTGTAAGTTCATTACATTATCTTAGTTGGGAACAATATTTGAAGAACAGAAAAAGATTCTTGATTTCTTCACGAGGTCATGAAAGTGATGCCAACCAAATATGAAAATATTGGTTGTAATTGTGGTAGAGTCGCAAACGAATGACACGGACTTTTAGAGATGGAAAGGCAAAGTTAGAAACATTACGTGATCATTTCCGCTTTCGAAAAAAACGAAATGAAAAGGAAGGAAAATCAATTAGAACACAAATGCCTCACAAAAAACAACTCATTCAGAGCATTTTAGAAACAAAATATAGAAGAGACGAATGAAAGGATCTTGGTAAGAAATCGGAATAAGTCCGGCTTCGTATTATTAACCACGGGCCAGGGCTAAATGTTGAGTATACGTATGTGCCATCGGGCAAAATACACGAATGAGAATCAGCAAATGACTGTTCAACTCTAGTATTCAAGATGAAAAACATGAATATAATAAAGAATGGATGAATGAGCTGTTAAGAGATTTCTCAGAAAAGGAACGACCATTTTGCGATAACCAATGTGCACATCAACTCATATTTTCCCTTTCCAATCATCCCGTGTGAAGGGAAAATTAATAAGACAACCAAACTTGTAGCGTAAGATTTTACGTCAGAGCTTACTATAATGCACGAATGACTATTTGAATGACTATTTTGAGCAGTTTGAAGCAAGTATGAACAAGATCGATGCAAGTCATGCTTGTGTCCTAATGAGTCAACACATGCGCGCCACTTCATGGGAGCAGCAACAGCAACAACGTCCTGCGTGGGCCTGCGCGTCGAGGAATTCGGGACCGCGCGAAGGACTCGAGCGCGGGCTCGAGCGCAAGTTCGAACTTGCTTCGCGCCGCCGTGGGAACTCAGCGCGGAGCAGGCGCGAGCGCGGGCGCGGGCGCGGGCGTGGCCGGGTCCCCGCCCACCAGCGCCCGCTCGCTCCCCGCCGCCGCACGCCTCGCGCCGGAATGCCGACGACCCCCAGACCTCGTTACTAGACGCGCGCCTCCGCGGCCGCGACCTTCGGGGCGCCCGGAGTGCATACGGCGCCGCGCCGTGGTACAAGGACAGCGTCCGTGGACCGAAGAGTGCGAAGGTTTTTTTAAAATTAAATTGTTTGTTGAAGTACAATGATCAGTTTACAATAAAAACTGTGCAATTGTTTGATAACTTAATCTAATTAATTTAATCTAGGTTAAAATTGTACTTAATTAATCTTAATATAGGGAGAGGAAACAAAAGCACCTCAGGAGAATTATTCAATGTTTGCAAATATCTGGAGGAAAGAATGGAGCGGGAATCAGTTCTTAATTCTAGTTTTGTATCTGGGATCTTTTCCCGAGTCTGTATTGAGTTGATGCCTTTATGAAAGATAAGTTTGTATAAAAGTTGTTTGATAGGAATGCTATTTGGTGTGTTATTTCATTTATGTTTAGATCGTTATGAAGTTGTTTATTACTAATGAAGTATGCTGCTCTTGTTATTGATCTTAAATATTTGTTTTGAAACACTTGCAATTTGTTGACATTGGTTTTGGCGGCATTGGTCCAGATCGGGCATGCGTATAATAGTATTGGGCGAATGAGTGACTTGTTTAGCATTAGTGCATTTGACAGTGAGAGGTGGTTGTATGAGTTTAGTAGAGGTCTTAATTGGATGAGTTTGATTTTGGCCTGTTGTGCTTTTATCTCAATATGTTGTTTAGTGCGAAGGGTATTCAGAAAGTTCCCTGGATTCCCTTACTGTCGCCAAACTAGCGATAACGCAACGTTCACGTTCTTGTGGTAGGGAGCTGGGCATGTTCGTAAGTTGCCAAAATTGGCCTGGGCATGTTTCAGTGCGCGGTGGTGTCTCTGTTCCGAGTCACGTGGAGGTGAGTGGTAGATCGTCGGCGTTCGGAGGTGAGTGGTAGAGCATGCTGCACGAGTTCGAACCGCATCATGTGCATATTGGGAAAATCAGATTGAGAGAAGGAACAGCTACTTTGCGGTGACTATTGGTTTTAATTTCAGGAATTTCACGTGTTTAACTATACAGACAAAATGCCCCAATGAGGGCTGTGTATCTCAAAATGTTTTTCGCTTTAACTGTCCAATTTTTCTTACCGGTTCTTCTAACGGCCAATCATACACTGTGACTCATCTATCTTAGGTGGCGGTATACTACATCGATCGCTGTGACGCATGTGATTTTGACATAGCTTTTAGATTTTTGCAATATTTGGCGCTTTTTGGAACTCTGTTGGGACATAATTTTACTCGTGAAATAGTCGTATTAAATAGTACTTGTGTTTTGGAAATGCTCAGATGCCCTTATCGCTTTGCCAGTCGGGAATTTATTGACAATTTCCAAAGCACTCGTGGTATTACATATGTTAAAGCAGTAAATAAAACCGCAATTTACGTCTGTTTGAGTCTTGGGTGTTCACCTACGACACGGAGACGAAATTGTAGTCATCGGAAAGGCACACTCCAGTGTTACCCCCCCCCCCCAAAAAAATACACATCGTCAGATCCAGAGACAAAGTAATGACTATTATCTTCTTTGATATCGACAGTTCGGTGCACAATGAGTTGGTGCACTAACCACCTGGATAATGTTACTGAACATTTTTATGTCAACGTTTTGCAGAGCTTGCGCGTTGCGGTTCGACCGACGGGACGGACCAAATTGCACGGAGAGTCTGCTACACAACGCGCCCAACCACACATTACTTGTTGTGCAGAAATTCCCCGCCCCGAACACTCATGTCTTCCCTAAACCACTGTATTCCCCGGATTTTGCTCCCGGTGACAATTTCTATGTTGGATGTTCCCTACTCTGAAAGTTGGCCTTAAAGGGAGACGTTTTGCAAACTTGGAGAACACGAAATCGAACGCGACGGCTCAGAGCCGACAGGTGCCAAAAGAAGACTTCTACCGCTGCTTCCAACAATGACATGAACGATGGAGCAAGAGTATGGGTGCGCAAGGGTCCTACTTCGAAGGTGATTACGTTATCATTGCCATAGGTTATAAGATTAATATGTTGAACCACCTTTCCGCGAACGCCCCTTTATTTCTAGTACAGTGGCCTACGATGCGTGTACACCCACGTAAGTACCGTTTCTTTCTAACGTCAGCTTGTGCAGCTCTGTAATAATTGTGTGGCTGTAGTGTCACAATTCCGCGCATGTACACTGTGGTTCATTGTCTTTCCACTGCCATTTTAGCCGGATTGTGTTATGTGTTCATGTCTCATTGGGCGTTCAAAATATTGAAGACAATTCCTGGGCCAGCCGACTGTAAAGTACATTCAGCGGTTGTAAAGTGCATTCAGCGGTGCTTGAACGCAAACAATGTTAATCCAGCATAAATTCATCGTCAACTTGAAGAGATTTATGGTGAAAATGTAGTAAGTGATGTAATAGTGAGAAAGTGGGATAGACATTTCCATGATGGACGCACCAATTATCATTGCGAAGAATGGAGCACCTCATTCTGCTAGGGTCACTCAAAACTTTTTTTAACAATTCGGTTAGGAACAGTTGTATCTCACTAAATTACTTCAATGTGTCACAGCACTTTGTCAGTGGCTTGCGAACCTCTAGAAAAATCGAAGAAAGTAAATATCGCAATTTTACGTACTAGCAAGGATATTGTTTTTACAGGCAGCAGGGAAACTGTACATGAAAATTTTATGTGAAATGATAAAAAAATTGTATGTTAAATATATTTCATTGTTTCGTACCCAGTTGAGTTACGTATTTTGAATCACAAATTGAAGATTTAGTCTTTATTATGCCATAGAAAGAAGGGTTAGAAGAATAAGCTCACATTTTTGTAACACGTATTTCATTGATTACATTAGAATTATTGTATATCAATATCATAATAGCCAATAGGAAATCACACAAACTCACAGCATCCCGCAAGGTAGTGCAATGATAATTAAAATCTGGAGAACATTTATTAAGAATAGCAAACGCCCCATGTCAGACGTGAAAACGAAACAAAATGTAAATTTTAAAACCAAAGAAACTTTCTCAAATGGTGTGATTGTGCGCAGAAGTGTACGTATAAATAGTAAGTTTTTACAAGGTGAAGTATTACAGGAATCGACAGTACTATAGATCTTCTGGGCATTGGCATATCAAATTTCTCACCACTTTTGTGAAACTGCGCATTCGCAGAAGATCGATATTGCAGTCGATTATTGTAAGCCAGCGCCGCGAAAAACCACGTAATTTGAAAAAAATGTAAATGAAAAGCATGGGGTGGAAACGAAGGTCCTCGACAAGAGAGACAAAAGACTGCAGATGAGCGCCCAGGAAGGGGCACAGGGTGCTCTGGACAGATCGACCGTGAAGCCCGAGAGCACCAACGGTCACCGAACGCCGCCACCTTCCCCTCCCCATCACCATCACCTCCTCAGCGGCTTCCCAGAACGCCCGCGGTCCATAGGGCACGAGCGCGCCCGCGCGAAACGGCCGCCGACGTTCCAGGAGCGGCTCCTGTCGGCGGTTCGCGGTCGACGGCCCCGCGGGCCCTCCGCCTCCTCACGTGCCCCGCGGAAATCCATCCGTCGCACGGCGTCCGCGGTCGGCGGCGGCGGCGGCGGCGCGCAAGAAGTCGCGGTCGGCTCGATTGNCTCCTCTCGCCCGCCCTCGTCTCGCCCGCCCGTCTCGCTCGCCTTCTCGCTCGCCTTCTCGCTCCCTAGTCCGCCCGCCCGCTCGGCCCCGATGTTCCCGGCGCGGCGTCGCGTGTGGCGAACGCCGATTGGCGACGCCCCTCAGGTCAGCAGCCGCGAGCGCGCGCCCCCGCACCGCACGAGCGTGAATCACCCGCGACGGCGAGGACGGCCGATGGCAGCGGCCGACGCTGCGTTTTACGGCCACGTCGGCGCTGGGGACGGTGTGGAGTCGAGACTCTCGATCCCTCGCATGTCACAGAGGCAGGATTAAGTTGTCAAGCTATAATTTCTACTGATAGATCCGCTTGGGTCTTGCCTAAGATGCTGTATACGTTAGAAGACTGTAGGTTTTCTTTGAAGTAAACTTTACAATCGTTGAAGTAATTATAATAGACGTCACTTTAAAAATATATTAATTAACTTCAACAATGAAATGTTTTACTATGACTTGCATTAAATGACAAGTAAAATAAAGTAGTCGCTCTACCCCTTCGCACATTTTCTAGATAAGCCTTCATTTATATTTTGTATTTATATTTAGCCATTATATGTCCCAATTAGCCTCTGCGCCGGTAGATAGCGGAGTTCCTAGTCTGTTACCAAACCAGGAACCCGCAATGTCTTGAATTCGCTTAACCTTCGTGGCTTTACATAGCTAACGAATACAGCTAATGACGCCGGATTTGTGGTGGTGATCATTCAGAAGAACTATCCCAGCATTTGCCTGGAAAGCAGAGGAAAGCGACGAAAACCGTAGTCAGAATGGTCGGGAATACGAATTCGGGTCTCCCCAATGCGACGTCAGCGCGATACGACCTGAGCCACATCACTTGGTACGCCTTCATTACAATTGCATAAATATAAACGAGAAAAAATATTGTGTAATATATGTGATTCAAATACCTTATGCAATGTGCAATTCAGTGCCACTACGACCATTCTCTTTGTCCCGGTATTCTCTTTATAGAGACTAGACAGCCGATGGCAAATTGCCACGTCCACAGATCTGCGTTCCCACATAATTTATATGCACGGTCGAAATGCTCTGCACGAATTTTGCAGACACGCAGTCTTGGCAGCGATTCGCTTGTATGAATGAAGCAACATCCACGTCCTCTATAACTTCTTCAAAAGTGCGAATTGTTACAGGGGTACATTTGGGAGTGTTTGTCATTCATTGTTGGTTTACTCAGCAAAGCGTGCGTGCAATATTCTTGCTTATGAATTCTAAAACTGACTTTGCCAGGTGCATACAGACGAGAAATTAATAGCGGAGTCATATGCAGTAACGGACGCAGAATTAAATACGCATCCTTGAGCCACATCACACGGCAAGTACCGAGAGATATAGGTCAGCCGAGGAGCCGCATAACGATGCGTATAGCTGAGCGCTTTTTCTAGTCGCGGGCAGCCCCACTTCTGCGTGTCAAGGCGTCAGCGGGACGTCTGGCGCGGAAGCCACGGTCCACGGAATGTTCTGGTCGTTAGCGGCGTGGGTGCGCCTGGCACGGGACGCGGCGTGCCGCGCCACGCACCAGACGCTGCATGTGGGGTAATCGGCCGTCCCACATGCTACCCACGCGCTACCCACCTACCATCCGCATTCTGGCAAAAGTGGATCAACAGGTACCAGAGACCTACTCAGGATATTCTTTCTGGTGAAGGGGCTGCAGTTATAATGTCGAGGAGAGTTGATGTTTTGTTATAAAGCATTTTTAATGTGCGCCGAATTTAAAATGTATTTTTATTTGTTGACATAGTTAATATTTATAACGCAAATGAAGGACTTGAGGCAATATCAGGACAAGCCAAACAGGTTCAAGAACTCTCCCGCTATTAGTAATACAACTCCTTCGTTCTGAATACCCTTATTTTAATCGATATGATTTTCATCTCTTTACTGCCCCAAACACTTCAAATATTTGAATAAGACATACAGCAACGAGATAAGCCACATATAGACCAAAATAGATATTTTAACATTTACTAATAGCGGAAGAATTGCTGAGGTTGGTGTGGTTTGTGTTATTGCCTCAAGCCCTTTCTATATTATTACTCACTTATCTTGTTATCAATAATTAATTTATTATATCAAATATAGAAGTTATACATTACACACAGTTCACGTATCTCTCTTTGAATGACCTCCTTATCACTAACTATTCTATTAAATATTTTTTGAAAGTGGTCAGGCGAAAGTGCGAGCTAAATGGCCTGAGCCTCGCCCCCAATAACGACATTTATTTGTTTATTTAGTTCTCTTTCATCATCATCATAACGAGTGATGAATACAGAATAAAAATAAGCACTGACATTCCTTTTAATTCCGATAGACAAATATCTAATAAAAATCAAACAGGATCAACGACATCGAATGCGTGTAGCAGTCCGCTGAACAACGCATATGCCCAGCGGCAACTGATAGTTATGAGGGGGGTTCAGCGGACAGCGAAATATTTTTTTTTTGTAAATAGTTCAGATATAGAACCTGCGTTGTTTAATTAGATTAGCATCATGCAACACCTAATTAAATGGACTAATTCATCAATTAATATAGCGCAAGTCATTTTTATAAAACGTAATAAACATTTGTCGATTTTTGAACATTTGACGACCATGTACTATGTATTACATGTACCACGTATTACACGAGAGTGCGGGTTTCCATTCGTCACTCTACAGTTCTTTTCGTTTGTTGACATACGACGCGTGAGGTCTCCTTGTTGGGCGCGTGGGCGTTCCTGGCACCGCCTGCGAAGCGCCGGTCGCCGAATGTCGCGTGTCCACACACGACGACCCGGGCGTCGGGCGCCGCATGTGGGGCAGTCGGCCCACCCACGCACAGCGCACGTGCTGCCCACGTTGAGACGCGTCCACCTTAGACTTCTAGTAAGGGGAATTCCCTGGTGAAAAGGGACTAGACGCACCAAATCCACTATTTACTCTTCTGTCTACTAGTATAGTATGTTATGGTATGATATGATACGGCATGCATTCCTGTTTTTCGTCCATATACTTGTTTACACCTATCGGTGTGTTATGGGATGTGTTAAGGACCCCCCCCTGCGGCTGAGACCTGATTTCCAAGAACACCCACCTTAATTACATGCTTATTACCTGTCCATTGTACTGGTGTAGCCCTAATGGTCATGTACGAGTTCTTTGCTCAAACAAGCGTAACTAGAACCGATCATAGTATCCAGTTTAGAGGAAAGAATCCACTCAAGGAAATAAATTATTATGCATCTACAACAGATAATACTAACACTACATTCCTCAGCTCATTACGTCGGGCACAGTTGATATTTACAACATTCACGCAATTTCGTCGAGGAAAGAAAGGAATTTATAATAAGGATTCGGATACATGGGTGATAAATGGTGTAACAGAAAAGCATATCAAGTCACAATACAAAAGAGAACATCCAAGTATTAAGTGAGTTTCGAACCCACAGCCATGGTGGTCCACAATTAGAGGCAAATGACCGATGCAACTGTACCACCAGGTAGGTTGATCTTCCCTCTACTACTACTTCAGCAATTATGCATTCAGTTTGAATGAGCGTGCTTCCAGAGTTATCAAAAAGACACGTCAACGTAATTTGACTTGCGAATTTACGGAAGCTTGTCGTGGTGATAAAAGAACAAAATACGTCTTATGCAATTACCAGAACAAATAATCAAATAACATACTATAGATGCGAAACGGTCACACTATTTGCAAAGAAATGATCAAAGCTGAAATAAAATTAAATGTATTACAACTCTTAAGTTGAAAATTGAAATTCCGGCTGTTCCATAAATTCCCGCTCTTCCATAAATAATGATCTTATTTTCACTTTCTTTTGACGAATTGATAAATTTGATTTATAGGAACATTTTACTCCTTCAATGATTGACACAGTTTGATACGTGTATATGCAATCCGTCATAGACATTGTTTATTATACAAAATTAATAGGATTTTTAAGAGTCTGGTATAATTGAAAGTAGTTATTCATCTAGCTGTATGTTCATGAACATAACTTATCAACTGATTCCAAAAAATCCTTTTTTTCAATTTTGTTATAAACGGAAATCAAACTTTATTGTATGCTACTAAAGAATATTCCAAGAAAATTGTATGCCAAGAAAATGAGTATATGTGCTATCTTTACAGATTAAAAATGACCTTATTCAAAAATAAATAAATATTTCTGGAATTTGATGAGTTTGGCAAACAAATATAGAACAAACTATTAATATTCCAAATTTTCTAGGTCAAAGGAAAAACAAATATGTGAATAATTAAAAATTATTTCAAAGACTGGGAATTTGGTCTCGAATACACTGCAATGAAAGTCATTGATCATTCGTCGTCTAATTTCCATCAATAAAGAGGATTGAAGATACTTTATTATCCCCGGCGAGGATATCATAAGTACATAGGTCGCACAACACCAGCGCACGTGGGCGGTGGGTACTCACCGGCAGCAGCGGGGGGCCGCGTCACCCAGACGCGGTCCATCACACCGAGCGCGCGAGGGGGCCGGCGTGCGGCCGGATCACCTGCCGCACACAAACACTCGGCTGTTGCAGCGCCTCACCCACACCTCTCGCACTCCAGACCACAACACTGCTTGTAGCAGCGCCTCACCCACACCTCTCCGCACTCAGCCACCACAAACAACTCGCTTGTAGCAGCCGCCACACCCACACCTCTCGCACTCAGTCCACCACAAACACCGCTGTAGCAGCGCCTCACCCACAACCTCTCGCACTCACACCACAAACACTCGCTGTAGCAGCGCCACACCCACACCTCTCGCACTCAGCACCAAAAACACTCGCTGTAGCAGCGCCTCACCCACACCTCTCACACTCAGTACCACAAGCACTCGCTGTAGCAGCGCCTCACCCACACCTCTCGCAATCATTACCACAAACACTCGCTGTAGCAGCGCCTCACTCACACTTCTAGCACTCAGTACCACAAACACTTGCTGTAGCAGCGCCTCACCCACACCTCTCGCGCTCAGTACCACAAACACTCGCTGTAGCAGCGCCTCACTCACACCTCTAGCACTCAGTACCACAAACACTCGCTGAAGCAGCGCCTCACCCACACCTCTCGCACTCAGTACCACAAACCACTCGCTGTAGACAGCGCCTACCCACACCTCTCGCACCTTAGCACCAAAAAACACCTCGCTGTAGGCAGCGCCTTACCCACTACCTCTCGCACTCAGCACCAAAAAAACACTCGCTGTACAGCCAGCACGTTACCCACACCCTCTCGCACTCAGACCACCACAAACAACTCGCTGTAGCAGCGCCTCACCCACACCTCTCGCCACTCAGCACCACAAACACCGCTGTAGCAGCGCCTCACCCACACCTCTCGCACTCACGTACCACAAAACACTCGCTGTAGCAGCGCCTCACCCACACCTCTCGCACTCAGCACCACAAACACCAATTAGCGCGCGGAGCCAACTCCATTAAAACACTTGCAACTGTAATATACTTTTCTCAGCCTCAGCGCTTATCGTGCCTCTGCATAACCGCGAGTGCGAGGAGAAAAGAATATTGATCTTGATCATGTTGTTGGAAGTGATGATAGTAGTGATGATGAAAAGAAGGATGACGCAAATAAAATGAACAAAATTGAATTAGTAGATGGTGAAATGAGGGGAAGTGGAAAATGCAGGACTTGTGCCACGAATCGTGTTAACAACCGCAAATTTTGTATGCATATATTTGTTTCAGAAATACAATCTCGAGAATGAGGTGATGGTTAATGTTTCCGTAGCATATCTTGATCCATACCCAACGTTTCACTAATCTAGTCCGAGTTCTGTAGTTTTTGGAAATATCTAATTATCTTCAATAGTTGGCACGCTCATATATACCTAATTAATACTGACGAACAATACCAGTAACTGCAAAGCGATTGTATAATGTTATAAGTAAATACCTAGAGAACAAAATAGAGAAAAATAAAATCACACCCCACATAATTTTATAATTTATTAAACGAATGAACTATTATAAATATACAAAATTATATTTAAACCTAAATTTATTTTTTCAACTTATAGAAAATTATAAAATTATACGTAAAATTAACGATATATACTACATATTAAGTAATTATTATGTGCTTTACCTCTAAAGAAAGCGTGCTATTTAAAATATTTTATTAATGAGAAATATAATTGTTAAGATTTTGCCTACATTGATCACTAAGATTGTTTCAGGGTGTACAAAAAATACACCAATGAATGGGTGTAAACACAATAATGGAAAATATATTTCACATCGCTATTCTCATATATACCCGTACTTATTGTTTGATTCTGGCTATCTGAGTTGATTTATAGTGTAATGTATAAGGCAAGATTTTTATGCAAATGCAGGTTTTGATTTAAGCTTCATAAAACTTCCACACTTAGTAAATATATCATTTTTTACTAACTCCTTTTAAAAATACATACTTTTCGATGCATGTTTAGGCATTTTTTCAATTAATACCACGTATTTAGACTTCTGTATTTAGAATATTGAGTACTTGTTCATACTATTTTTTACAAAATTGGTACACGTTAAAATTGACGCTTACATTGTAGTAGCATATTGTTCTAACATCCTGACAGCTCCTAGCAGTTGTCTTTACGTATTGTTTTACAGAATATTAACCCTCTAAACGTGCTAAGATTTCTGAAACGAGTACACGTGCCGTGAGCAACAATTGCGAAATGGATAAGTGCAAAGCGATTATGTCACAAAAGATCATGTACACTGTTGTTTGTGAAAATTGTGTCACCCGGAAGGAATGATAGGAATCACATAAAAAATCGGTGGATTATGGAACAGTGTATCCATAAGAAGTACTTAAATTAGTAAAAATATGGCATGCACGTTGACCTAATAGCGGCCTTCTTTGTGCGACAAGATAGCTCTGTGTTATGCCACACCCAGTCGGTGTAGAGCCTTCAAACAACGTGGAAACGTGCAAGCAAGGGCCGGTATGCCTGGTCAACGCCAAATGGCGCAATGTCAGCATCTGAGTGGGTTCAAAAGGGGCATAATGATCGATTTCCAGGAAACAGGTTTGTGGTACCGTGACATTGCGGTTGGAAAGGTGCGTACTGCTACGACAGTGATGCATGTGTGGAACCAGTGGATAGAGGAGGGTCGGGCACAGTGACAAGCGGCTCCTGGAACATCCATCGTGTTCTCAGAGCGAGATCACCGCCATCTTGACCGCATGGCTGTAACTGACAGAACGACATCGTCCACAGCATTGGCTCGACATCGGAGCACTGCCACGCTTCAATTTGTGGTGCAGCGATGGCCGCGTACGAGTGTGGTCATGTTGGCGTCGACGGTTCGACGCCGTCTGCAGGGGGCTGGACTGGTGCCACGCATACCTCTGCGTCGGATTCCGTTGACTAGAAACCACCAACCCATCAGAGAGCAGTGGGCACGTGAACGTGTTTACTGGTGTGCTGAGTGGCAAAATCTAGTGTTTTTGGACGAGTCCCGCTTCAATTTGTGGTACAGCGATGGTCGCGTACGTGTTCCAGCCTGCATTGTTCTGCGCCCTAGCGGACAAACACCAAGTACCGTTTTCTGCGAAGAGCGACAAGTACCACTGCTTCCCTAGCCTCCACGTTCACTTGCCATGTCGCCCATCAAACATGTCTGGAATATGATCGACAACGTGTTCGTTCTGGTCCTTCTGCAGCCACAGTCAATGTTTTGTGGTCTCGCATAGGAATCACGTGGCAATGTGTTTCCCAGCAACATATTCAGGCTCTCTTTGAATCCATGCCTTGACTAGAAGCTCTAATGGCAGCGCGTGGCAGCTTCACACCGTATAAAATACTCAAAGACAAATTACAAGTACAGTTCAGTATTTGCATATTGTGATATTCCTAATCTGTGGAATAAATTTAGTTGGAATAGGACGCCTCCCTCCTGGTATTTTTACTAACACTGATATAGATACAAGAAGCCGTAACTCAATATCACTTCATAACTGACAATGGGATGGGAAAATAATCAAAAGCAGATTCTCAGTCTGCTTGTGTCGTATAAAGTATAAAATAAAATGTTAAAAATTATGTCTGTAAAGAATTAAATTTTTTTATTTAATCACATTTTGTAAAATTGCACAGAGGAATTTATTCAGCAAATCTACCTCCGTAGAGTCGTTGAAAATTGTTGAAGACATTAAAATGTCTTTCGAATTAGTGTGTGGAGGTGTGAGTGTGCCTGCCTTGGAAGAATTATATGAAGCGTTTAATTCAAATTCTGATTTGAAATGTATCCATATTCTAAAAAAAAATATTTGTGGTACAAAAATTAGAAAATGCAAAATTTGACTCCACGTTGACTCATATAACATCTTGAAGAATGCTCCTATTACGCCTCGTATCATAGAAATAGAATGCTTTTTCTGCATAAAGAAAAATTATTTCCTGACAAAAGGATGAATTTGATAGTAAAATTTTGTTCAAAAAAACTTAATTCTTCACTGTTACAAAAGACAATAAAACAAAAAATATAAAAAAAGAAAATTTGATTGTGCACAATTGTCAATTTTACCCTTAAACGTGCATGTTTGCATGCATATTTTAGCATTTGATAGTGCATGGAAATCCTCCACAGTAAAATAACACCCATTAAAAACCTTTTCTTCACTACAATCGCAGGAAGAAAACTATTACTTCTCTTCGGGAATCTACCAGATGCATTAGAATTTCCGGTTTGTCACCAGTGACTTGTTTCCCTCCCATCAATACAATCATCTCAAAGCTGCCCCAGAAAGAAGAAAAAAAACGTCCATTCACAACGTCCTCGAATTTCCTCATAAACATAAAAGCGACACTCTAAAGCATCAACATGAAATTCTCATTCAGATTTCGTTGAAAGTCCCCCATGCGCGGAGTGACACAAATGTCTCCCCCGCTCTGCAGATTGGCCGATTGCCATGAGCCGCGTGTGCAGAGGGCGTTCCTGGAAACGGTGACGACACGACACGAAACAGAAGGTCGCGCAGATCCCATCTATCGGAGGAGACGGGCGTGGCTGCGGCGGATGAGCTACTTTCAGGGGGAGAGTACAGACCTGCGTGAACCAAAGTGAGAAAACCATCTTCTTGGAGCCGAGTAAATACTTTTTTATCGCACTGTATTAACATGTTATGCACTTCTTTATATCGTAATTTTGAAAAGGTAAGAGATTGTGTTATATTTACTGCATACTGGCAACATTAATGACAGACATTTTATCTCTAAATTTAAACAGAGTTTTGCTCGGAAAGTGTCAGACAGAGTTTGAATATTTGTATGGCTATTTTTAAAACTGCTGACGACAGTTTAATTTTGTGCATCAGTCTATCACTTAATATAGAAGATGTTCTGACATTACATTAAAACCTACAATCTGTATCACGAAAAAAATAGAACCGTTGGAGTATATCAGATCCATGATATTGTGACAAGGAACCTTGTTACAGTATCATAGATCTGGTATACTCCAAGAGTTCTTTTTTGGTGTATTATGAATTCTTCTGACATTTGTCTTGCTCCATAAAGAACTAATAAATATAAGATTATTTCCAAATGTGATACACCACTTGTGATTAAGTTAAAATTCTACGTCTTAAATCTTAAAATTCATTAGAATCTGCAATTTCCAAAGAGTTGACCATCCTCTAATCGGAGAAGAGATGGTGCTGCAAGTTTTAATTTCATGAGGAAATTGTTGGGATTAAAAAAAGGTTTTGTAATACTGTACTATTGTATCGACGTAGTTAAACAGAAGAACGAACAGCCACACATATCTGGCTCCGTTTAGAATTTTAACACTCCGCCATCCTTCATCGAAACAATGAGTCGTAGCAAACGATGGCGTATGAGTATTCATTTCCCCAGAAAAGGAATTTCTTATTTACAATTTTTTTCTAAGAAAATGGTGTTTTTCAAAAGTGTTCAACGATACACGATCGATATAAAAAAATAACGGACACGATTCGTTATTTCCTCTGTCAGTATAAAGACAAGTTAATAACTGTGCCCGATTTTATTGGTTAAACGTTACAGAATATTGTGATTTTAACTGAAATTCAAAATGTGTTTAATCACTCTTAATTGAAATCCATTGAACACAACGCAAAAATAATTTAAAAAACAACGCATAAATCATTTGATTCAGAAATACGTCCTGCGAGTGCATGAAACGTACTGGGCTATTCGCAGCATCTACAAGTGAGGCGCAAGTCTTTCCTCGCAAGGGGGCGAGGGGGGGGGGACAAGAGGCGCGTGACGGGCGGGCGTCGCCCCCGCCGGGCGACGCTGCGTCTGGGCGACGTCTGTCGCCCTCCCCTCCCACCCACCGCCGTCGGCGCATATTTGCGCGCGGTGCGGCGCGGCGCGGAGCGGTGCGACCTTCCTCGAGGCGGAGGTGCAGGGCGCCCGCACGGCTCATGGCCCGGCGGAGAGAAAGCCTCGCGTGGGAATGGAAGGTGGCAACGACTGCTACTGTCACTTAGCGTGTGGAAACATCTCGAATTGTAATAGCGCGAATCCCAAATATTGATCGCAGTAAAATTATTCATAGAAAGGAATCAATATTCAGTTATTAACGAACAGTTACCGTTATCTTTGTAACCAATGCTTATTAACCAATATTGGCTTGTACATAATATATTTTTCTTCTAATTAAAGATGTTGTCATTGCCAACAATGTTTTTTAATTCAAAAGCAGCTTTGATGGCTTAGCCATCATCATCAGTTGTCTGCTAGATGGAAGCCACAAAACGACTACACATTTACCTACGACTTACCTAGTCGTTTTGTGGCTTCCATCTAGCAGACAACTGATGATGATGGCTAAGCCATCGAAAGTGCTTTTGAATTAAAAACATTGTTGGCAATGAAACATTCTAATTATTTTAAAAATGCCAAAGATATTCCTACCCACAACACCTTATATTTTTTCTGTCTGCTTGACATTAACTATACGATGAGAGAGACTTCTTTGTCCATCTTTTTGATTTTATACATGTTTTACACTATATAGTTCTCGTTTTATATATGTTTTACACTACATAGTTCTCGTTTTATATATGTTTTCACTATATAGTTCTCTATAGTGTAAAACAAATTGCTTATAATGGTGTCAGGAAGTTAAAGTATAATTTATACAGCAATAATTAACTATTATAACTTTTACTGTGCTCGTCATCTTGCTGCCGGATCAATGTTCCGTCAATCTAGGCATTGATTGTGGAGAGTGTCAGGAATTGGAGTAAATCAAGCTGACACTTACGTAAATTAATTTTGCTCAAGAAACTGTTAATGAGATTGATGCTAATAAGGATTGTTCTAGAGTAACCACGTACTGACTAATGAAAAAATATGAATGTTAAATACAACTTCAATTTTTATGGAAACTTTATTTGGTTTCTGAAAAATCTGACCAGAATGACATTGAGAATAATTTCGAGAATTGAAGTTAACACGAGTATTAAGTAACTGAGAGAAGTTATTCCAATTTTGTTTCATTTCATATAAAATCAAAACTAAATTCGAATGTTAGATTTTTTTTCTAATCAAACGAGCATTTGTTTCAAACACAAGACAAATAAAATCACAGATATTTATTTTAATAATTTCTAGCATAAAAAATATATTTTACAGAATACCAGTTTTTACCTCTGATTCCTGAAGATTATGTCAGGAATTGAGGTGTTAGAGCCGAGAATAAATAATATGGTTCGGAGGTGGGCGGTAAATTGCGAATGGGAAGTGGGCGAGGACGAACCCAGCCGAGATGAGGCTACGATCGCAGAAAACGTGGGAAAGAGTGCAAGCATAAGGGGGAGGCGGAACGGAAGGCATGAGGGGACGGGCAGAAGTGGAGAAATGGATGGAGCGTGGGCGTGGGTGTTTGTGATCGCGCGCCGCCGCCGCCGCCCGGCCCCGCCCCGCCCCGCGCGTGGCTGCCCGCGGGTATTTTTACTGGCGCTGGTGATCGCCGCCGAGACGCAGCGTTATTTCGGGAATTCGCGCCGTGACGCAAGGCCGGGAAGGCCGCCCCGCGCCGCCGCCGCCGCCGCGTCTCAGCACCGCGGCCGCCCAGCGTGTCCTCGCCCGGTGACGTTGCACCCGGCCACTCCCAGTCACCCAACGCCACTCGGGACTAACGCACCAGATCGTGTTCCAGCAGATTCTCCAGTACACAGATCGAAGATAATCGTTACACCAACAGAAGTGATACACACGACTCAGTACTACTCAATTTTAATGGATTCACTTCGTTTTTCAAAATCTAAGTTCATACGAGCTTCAGTGCATGTAACTGTTTTTTACCTTCCATATATTCATTAATTCTTGAAATTTGCTGCCGGGCAATATTTTAGTTCCACAGCAGATTTCTAATAATACCTAGCGTATGTTTGACGTTTCGTGTAAACAAACAATTCTTATATCATGCAAAAATTACGATGAATCAAAGTGGTCCAGTTGTGAAATAACTTTCAGAACGCGAACATGTAGGCAACTAATTGTAAACTATTTTGTTTATTTTATATCACCACTTGTTAGGCAGGCATGTGTGCTCTGAAATATGTGATATTTCATCGTGCTCAAAATCACAAACGACGGTAGTTAAATTTAAGTCTAAGCAACTAAT